GTAAAGAAGCCTGTTAAGTTATTATCCTGCTGTCATCCTCGGGCATTCATTTTTTTTTAAATTTGAAGTTGATTTATATGTTGATAACATTGCACACACCCACTTAAACCCAGCATACCTAATGTAAAACAGGAACACCTCGAAAGACGTCAGCCCAACGTTTTAGCTTAGCTTGTGACGTCTTGTCAGTTACGCTTGTTATTGATTTTGCTTAGGACGCCGATATGCTCCCTTGTCAAGCCCATACGGCCGAGAATTACTGCGTGCTGGGTGGAATATGGACCTTATGCGCAAAGCGCGTGCTGGGTGTGTGTGTACACGTCCCAGATAGGGTTGTCACGTGACGAAGCCTGACAGGCGGTGGCTGCGCGCGGGGGAGAGCGCTGTTTGTCCCAAATGTGACGGGTCCGGCCCCCGCGGAGCACGTGTCGCCTCTGCGCTCCTCTAACCTCTCATCGACTGGCCGACATGGCAAGGTACGCGTCAGTTGTCTCGTTCTCATCGTGGCGTTATATTTATTCTGTATGGCGTTCTCGGATATTTTTTTTTTTACTGTCCATGTTCATGTGACCATGAGTTTGTCCTTTTTTTTGTTCTGGTGCCCGTACTTGCTTTGTCATATTTTATTGAGGTCGTGCCTTTCTCTTCGATATTTAAAATTAGTGACGTTCAATCTGTAAAAACATAGGTATTAAAATTATTGCTAAGTGCCAATTATTTTTTTTTTAATCCACAAAATGAATCGGACGAACATTCCATATCACTATCTGACACGAGCGATGCTGGGAAAATCCTCATTTATTTTTGCCTATTTAAGAGGAATAAGATAATTTTTGATGTGTTAGCGAAAAGTTCTCTATCACTTTTTACATTTATGATTTTGACCGTGCTAACCTATTTAAAAAAAAAGTTGGCTCGTACGTTTGGGTCGCAAGAGATCTACTGCTTTCTTCGTAGCTCTCGAATCCCTTTTCTGTAACTGGCTTATGTCATGCACATTGCAGTCATCTTTATCCTTGGATGTTGTCCTGTGGCAACTCATTCTAATGGCGTCTCGATTCCTTTGTTTCACCCCGTTCCTTACCGCCCCAGCGCGCGGGCCCGGTGCCACCCGTTCCTGTTGTTTTCGTCAATGGCGTGGCGTCCTGTCATTGTGTCAACATACCTGGCGGGCTGTCACTGTCACTCTGTCAATACACCTGGCAGCCAGGCCGGTGTGGTGTGGTGGCTAGACATCTGTTATCGTTCATTCGCCCCTGCGTTTGGCGATAGGCGGCTTGGAACTGGTGGTGACTGGTTATTGGTGTTTGATGAGCGGTGAGAGGAGGTGGTGGTGGTCTGTTGATGCTAGAGTCTCTGGTGATTCGGATCTGTCTCCACCATGGTGCTCAGGTTGGTGATTTTTGGTCTTGACTGAAGCATTTCGTGTTGTGCCTGGTATGCATGTGCTAGTGTGCTGGAGAGTTTGTTTTGAAGGTTGTCTTGTATTGGAATGATGTGTTTAAGGCATTTTACTTTATCCGTTGCGGTAATCAGGAGCTCTATCCTCTCAAGTAGTGATTTTTGGTCTCCAGCCCCGCTATGGAAAATACTTCTTGGGATTTACCCACTTTTTATCCTCTGAGCATCTGTCTTTATTTATCTCGTTGTAACGTCTTGACAGCGACCGGGACATTTTCTGAGTGTGGGCTGTTGACCGACCTTAATCACTATCTGGGCGGAGTGTCACTCGCTGAATCCACCCGGCACTCGCCCATTGCCGTTTTTCTCCCGGTCTTTTTGTCCCATTGTGTGGCCCGGTGAACGGGCTGCCTTCCGGGGGCTCCACCCCAGACATTCCTGGGGGCACATCCGGGGCGCGTCGCTGACACCGTGACGTGACATGACACTCGACTTGAAGCGTGACCAGACGGATGACACGTCACGAGGATAGCATACCGACAAGAGCAAATTGTCATGTCACCCATGAGTCGCGCTTCAACGGCGTCGAATTGTTGCCTCCGCTGTGGGAAGGACAAGACTACCACTCTGACTCAATTCAGCTCATTTATTTTTTTAACATAAACAGAATAAAATACAAAAGTGACGATATCACTCTGCTTCCACCACCTCTGTTTTTATGTGTTAGTCATTTTTCAGTGTGTCCATAATTACTGATAATTATTTTCAGCCTATTCTCTCGGATAAAATTGATCATGGAAATACTCTATTTGGTTTCATTATTTCACTTGACTTAAAAGTAAACTGTTGAAGTTGATTCTTGGACTCAATCCCAAAGAGTGGCCGAATTAGAAATAAATAACATTCTGCTCTCATAACGGCTTCGAACGCTGCTTAGCTGATATCCCACCAGCAACAGCCGTCAACCTCTCGACTGTCTGTTACACCTGCCTGCAGCGGCACCGGGCGGCGGTACTAGCCTACGGCGTTTTACAGCGCACGGCGCCTGCCCGGCCGGCCAGACGGCCGCAGCGCCCGTGCCCTTGTCCGGCTCGGGTCGGGCCATTCACCCCACTCAGTCCGCCGGCGGGCGGTTGGTGGGACCCGGGTGACGGGGTGCACTGGTGTGGTGTGAGTCGCGGGGAGGGGGGGGGGGGTGATAAGGAGAGAGGGAGGATGATAAGGAAGGAGGAAGGTTGATAACTGAGAGTATGGAGGGAATGGAATGTGGGGGGGGGGATGGGACGTGATGGGATAGAGTGGGAAGTGGTGTTATGGGAAGTGATATGACGAGACAACACAGGACAGGGGATAAGACGGACTGAACACTGGACCAGACAGGCCGGTATTGAAAAGGTTCGGTAGAACAGGACATAGGACAGACTTGGTAGGACTTCAGAGAGGACAAAACCAAACCGGACAGGAACCTTCGTGCGTTGAACTGGCGTCTCTAGTCTAAAGCTGCTCAGTGCGCATACCGGCAACTTGCCGTGTGCTCGCATGCATAAGTGATCTAGCCAAGTAACCCTATGTATGCGTATTGCGCACATCACGTGTCTTCGACAGGGAGCTTGGCGCAGCAGCACCAGGCGTGGTGCTGCTGGTGAATGGTGATGTTCGATGTGGTGTCGTGGTCGAGTTGTGTTCCTCCGGTGGTGCTACAGCATTCTGGTCGTGACATTCGCCGTGATACTGGGGTCCGATTCTCTGCGGAATCCCTATTTGGACCCCTAGAAAGGTTGGGGTCCCCTGCAGTTCGTGGACCAGTGACAATCAGTCTACATTCCCAACTCAACCGTAACTTCACCGCAAGGTGGTGGTCCCTTGCGTGACATGGTGTGCTTGGAGTTTTCGCTGCCAGTGGCGGGCAAATACCATACCAGTGACGTGTCGTGAAGTTGAAATGGGTGAATCAAAGGCGGCCGTTGGCAGTTGCCGATGCGCCGATGGGTTATGAGTAGCTGTGGGAAAGGGTTTGGAATCGTGTATTTTCGAGTTAATGATAGTGAAACAAGCAAAGCAGGCAGGGTGTATCTGGAAACCAGGGTCACCGACTGCTATGTTCCATGGATGCCGTAAAAGTCCTGCCTGTAACCGATTCTTACGCCCGCTGACTCCTCGCCTTCCTTTTCTCTTTCTCTCTCTCCCCTCCACTGCCGCGGGCCACCACCGCCTCCCAAGGGTCCTGGCAGGATGAGGAAGTGCGGAATGATGGAGCCCGCCGGCGGGCATCCCACCGAGAGTCTGTTTACCTGGGCAGGTCATCCGTCCACGCGACCCACCTTCCTGTATCTCCTGAGATGAGAGAGGGGCTGCGAGAGAGAGAGAGAGAGAGAGAGAGAGAGAGAGAGAGAGAGAGAGAGAGAGAGAGAGAGAGAGAGAGAGGGGGAGGAGAGTAATGCGGATTGAACTGTGAAGCGGTCTTAGCGACCGATTTCTGGGATTAGTTCAACGGGCTCGTGGCTGCGGCGGATAAATCGGAGGTGGGATGTTGTGAGGTGCTCGTGAGGTTTGGGCATTTGACGCTAAGTTGTAGCAAGAAGCTGTTGCTTTGGGGCTTTGCTGTTGCTGCTTTAACTTGTTCAAGACATTTCGGTTTTGGGTGAAGTTCTAAGACCTAAGGCGAGATGCCAGACGTTGATGCTCGCTGATTAGGTCCGTGTAAATGTTTTTTTTAATCATGCTTCATTGTGCAATGTGCAGTGGCCTCATTCATAAATTGCAACAATTGCCTTCACAACATTCCAATTGGAATCTAACCTCTCTGGCGCTTCGCTCTTGCACAACTGATAAACTTGACTTTGCAAAGAAATGACTAGATATGTTTGTCTTGATGCCCTTGATAATGAGAAACATCGACCTGTCTCCCCTCATCCTACCTCACAACACCGATAATCATTAGCCGTCTTCCATAAACACATTCTGTATTTTCCCACGTATTACTCACGAAAAGAGACCCTCGTCTGCTCCCATCATCGCCGAACAGAGTCATTCCTACCCACTCGGCTTGGAGCTCGACCACGTTGTATGAGCGTTGAGTGATTATGGTCGACGGTGGGAAGCCGCGTGTGAACCGACCACCGCCCGGTCGGCGCACCGCCAATGAGGGTCCCGCGGCGCACTAACAGATTGTGTCTGGGCTAATGTCCGGTTCACGTTGAGTTCACGCCGGGCTCTTGCTGGGGTCGTGCTGGATTCTGGCTGGTTTCCTGGCTGGTTCATGCTGTGTTCACGCGGGATTCAGGAGATTGTATGCAGTGCTGACGCCTGGCTCGGCTGCTTGATAGAAAGAGGCATATCAATGAGTTGATTGAGATTTTAATTAGTTTATCGATGTCACAGGCTTTTCATGATGGTCTGAGGCAGTGCATGGCTCGGCTAGAATGCATTTTTTATTCTTTAATCAATGCTGTGTGTTCTAATGTCTAGAAACAAATCGCATGAAGGATATTCATGCTATGCGTAGGTATTTGTCTTATTGTAATTATTATATTACTGTCCAGTCCCATAAACGGCTTTATGACTTCCAGCGCTCTGACTCTTTATTCTTCTATTTTCAGACCTGCAGGCGCCGCGCTTCATCACTCAGCCGTCTTCGGGGAGCTCCATGGTCAACGAGGGCTACACCAAGATCATGCAGTGCCAGGCGTTTGGTAAGTACACCGTCAGGGCTGCCGAAAATCGAGCGCTCGGTTTTCTGGTTTGGAGTGGCAGATGCACGTGCGATATGATGGCAGACGCCTGTGTTGTGCTGATGCGTGCAAGTACCGAAGGAATCATGCCTTCACATGGCACAAGGGCACGCGAGTGTCATCAAGGTCTTCAGACATTTTGTGGCGAAACATTTCTCTTTTGAACGTGCGCTGAAAACACTGGCCTCTTCGAACACATGATGTCAATGCGAGCACAATGCAATGCATTTGATTAGGCTCACGCTTGCGATTTCCTGACCGCGGAATGAGTCTGCTTCAGCCTCAACGTTGCATCTTTATCGATATTACTTCTGCGGTACGCAACAACACATACACACGTCACATTCCATCACTGCTTGTGACTGGTCTCCAACGTTTCATCTTAACCGAGAACACTTAAGCGGTAGGCTGCAACACCTACACCCGTACAGACCGTGACCTTAGGCTGAAGACTCGGCCAGTTGGTGCCACAGCTTGGTAGCTGCGCTGGGCACCTTGGAGCCGTCTTCGATACCGAATGCGAACATGGAGAGCGACCAAACAACATTGGCAAACTTGCGGTTAAACACAGATGCAGGTCGTGCTTTCTGGAATAGCTTACGCTACCACTTCTCAAATCATCATACAGTCAAGAAAAATAAAAACTAAGAGCCAGAACATTTATTTCCGTCAAACACGTTTTATTTTAGCATAACACGAATCACATGAAAACAGTATGTGGGAGCAATTCAGAACACTTCCACGTCCAGGCCTCACTGACCAAGGAGTCCGCACCAGGTTGTGTGTCCGGACGGAGGATCCGCTACGTTCTTAGGATTGAGGGTTAAAAATGCTGGAACACATACTGCTAGTAAAATACTTTATTGCATAGTTTTCTCCACAAATAAAAACGGTTAATCTACGCACAACACGTATAAAAATAGAAGTGTGAAGTGGGAACACTTCGTCTATAGGAACACATCACCTTTGTCGAGCCGCGACTGGTGCCTCGTCTTTGTCTAGGCTAGCACCTAGACTAGCTGCTGTACAAACTTGTGGCACCTCTGAGGGGGCTTTACGCCATCGTCGATGCCTAGGACGTATCGTTGAACGTATGCGTATAGAGGCGCCAGCTTCCTTTGGAATGACAGATTAAACACAGAGTGGCACAACAGTTATTTATTTATTCACATATCCCCAACAGGCCAATGGTGCCCAATTACTGGATGATCTCCTTCTCCACCCTAGACGACGGCTGATGCGGGAGCCCACCCCTCTCCTGGCGGTGCATCTGGGGAGCTAGCTTACCAGCGGCATAGAGTGCAGTCGGGGCTCAACGGTGCACACTGGTCCACGTGCAGACGCTCAGTCTCGTTTTCATCCTTGATACTTGGCCCAAGACGGATACGACATCTGATCTGAGGCTCAACCAATCAAGTGGTGGCAACGCACTGTTCCGATCACGCTGGTCCCCTTTCCTAATTCACGTGTCAAACAACATCCACTATTTTCAGGCAAACGCCGCTCATATTTATCGAGCTGCTGGCCGGGTTGACTCGCGGCCGTCTTCACTGTCGCTCAAAACCACGTACTTGTTAACCCTTCGGCCGTGCTGAGCCGGGGCCGCCTCAAACGTCGCTCAAACCCACAAGCATCGGGCTGACGCCGTTCAGTTCACGATATGGTGCTTAAAACGTTGATGAAACCAGCAAATAATGTCTGACACGGAGCCGTTTTGCGTCGGCCACCCCACATAGCATTTCAAACATTACATACTCGAACAGAAAATGCGGCGTTTTACACTGGCGGCCACCTTACATTATCAGCACAAACCTGGCGAGGTGGGTTATTAAGAATCGGCGTCGCCTCCACGCCACCACGCCACAGCCTGTCAGCCACTGGCACAGGCGCGTCAGGAGGTCTGTGACCACTAATTTACAGAACCCACCCGCCCTGAGGCCTCAGAGCTCTCTAGCGTGGCCAACACCGGGATGTTGTAGTGGTGACACCTATAGGGCATCAGTAGTTCAGAGAGTGCCGCTAGAGGCAGCACTGTAGGGTACCTGCGTGTCTGCAGGCTGTCCAGATTTTCCATATATGTGAATACGCCGTTGCGAACCAGTCATCGGAGCCATCCGGTCGAGGTCGTGGCGGGCGCATTCTGCCGGCTAGAGATTTAGCGTAAACAATCTTCATCGAAGTGATGCGCAATAGGGGACAATGTATTGTCTGGTGCTTGGTGTGAGTCGGGACGGCTGTCACTATCCAAGCGACAGGTATCAGAATCCTGCCCTTTCAGCTACCCTGAGTGCTAAATACCTGTCTAGGTGCGCTTCCCAGCTACACTGTCAAACAGAAAAATAGCTTTCACCCATCAGTTGATCAATGAAATTATCAAGACAAAGTCTTGTGCCTTCAAGTGATGCTAAGGTACCATCAATGCGCCGAAGAGGATGACTGTACGGAACGCTGACATGAACGACGTTTCTCAAATCAACACAGAACTTGCGTTGTTTGGAATCACGTTTTGCGACTAAAGCTTTTGGACCGGGCCAAGGGCTGCGGCTTGGTTCAATAATACCGATTGACCGGAGGCCGAGCGGCGGCGCACCGGGCTAGCGAATGTCCTCACAGAGTGTCTCTGAGTGACTCGAGTGTGTATATCCGGGACGAGCGTCCCGGACCGAAATGGTCCTGGACCAACGTGCCCGTCCGACTCCCGGACCGCGAGTGACAATGGAGTGTCACAAGAGTGAATCCCCTCTCGTCCGCATCGCCGCTGCTTTTATATGGAGCAGCGGAGCGTATCGATCGGTGATCCGACTCGAAAACATAGTACGGCGCGCCACATGAGAACAAACTTTGAACAAAGTCCGTCCTCGGAATTTCGAAAAAGGTGATGCCATCGAATCAGAGGAGTGCGTCTTACGCATTTCGACTTAGCACGGTGTGTCACACACCTTCATGACACTAGTATCGATGGGGGAGAATCTATGTAAGTTTTGTGTGCCTTTGGTAATCACCGACTTCGAAGAACGCTCCTTCAGCGTCCGTGAGAATCAGTGTAAAAAATAGAAATATGGCCAATGAAACGACAAACACGCAAACAACCCACAATTCACCAACACACAACTAGGCAAACACTCAGCGTTAGCCCCTTTTTGAAGTAGCCAGACGCCTCGATGGCCTCCTCGGTAGCCCCTTCTTGAAGTAGCCAGACGCCTCGATGGCCTCCTCGGTAGCCCCTTCTTGAAGTAGCCAGACGCCTCGATGGCCTCCTCGGTGGCCGCCGGCCGGTCGGCCGCCGCCTTGGTGCGGATGGCGCGCGGGGCGGCGCGCTGACCATCCTCACTGGCGGCCGACGAGTCACCGCTGCGGCACCGCTGCGCGTCGATAAGATAGGCCAACAAGAAAAAGGCCAGCAAAGTAGGTCTGCAAAGGCAAAAAACTAGCAGAGCGGCTTGCAAACGGAGCTGCAAAGGCAGAAAGAAATGCCAGCAATGGTGCAACGAAATACAAATATCGACGAATCCTGAACTCAGTCAGCCCATATCACAAACTCAGCAACCAAACTCGTTGCCTCCACAAGACGAACTAACATAAAAGCAAGACCTCCTGGAACTTTCAGCCAATACAACTGGAGCCTTGCACCCTTCCCGCCACATGGCACCAGAAACGTCTCATTACACACAAAATCGCTGCGCCACGATACCAAAGAAAAGTGGCAGCCCAAACTCCGTAGAAAAACCGGGCACGAAAGAAATACTTTTGTCCGCTAGGCGGACACGCGTGGCCGTGAAGTGAAGTAACGGTAGCGCTAGTGAAAAATTAAAGGCAATTAAAATTTAACACCTGGAGTTGACGGTGGTCGGCGATGCGGTCCACTGGAACGCCTCGTTCCCGGGCGGCCTTCTCGACCGCCGCCACCGAGGCAGGCGAAACGTCTGGCGGCCCAACGTACTCGGCCGCGGCGGCGGCCGGGCGTGTCCAGCCAGCCGGCGCCGGGTCGGCCGTGCCGGGCGCGAGGGACGGCCAGGCTGGCCCGCCCAACGCCGCAGGAGGTGCGGCGTGGCCACCGGGACTGCACCCGGCCGGCGCGCCGGGCCAGCTCGGAGGTGCCGACCGGGAGAGGTGACCGGCGTCGGATGACGGGACGCCGGCTGCCGCACCTGTCGTAGGGGGCGGATAGCCGTCCGGTGCTCCGTAGTGACCGTACTGGGCCGGCGGCGCTGGCGGCACGAAGTATCCGGGGCCCGGCAGCCCTGCGCTGGCGGCCACCGGAGCGGCGCTGGCCGGCGCGGGGTATGGACCTGGCGGCACCGGTGGAGTGAAGTGGCCGTATCCCGCAGGCGCCGGCAAGCCGTCGGTCGCCGTGCTGACACTATTCTGGTCTCCGTGTGTGTTCGGCAGCGCCAGTGGATGCCGAGGCCCGGCCGTCCGCAGCACGTGGTTGAGTCGAGCCGGAGTGAGTGGCGCTCCGTCGTGGAGAATAAACAGGGGCCGGACCTGCGAGTAGCACTGGTCACGCGCAGAGCAAAAAGTCCCGAGGCTTCTCACGGGGCAGGTGGCGGTACCTGTAGCCGGGGCCGAGACCCACTGTGGGGCGCCGTGCTGCCGGTTCTTTTGAATGTGGAGACGTACGGCGCATCGCGCCGCTGTGAGGTGAAGATCCTGTCTGCGTAACCCGCGGCCCGGGGCTGAAGGCAGGTATTCTGAGACTCTCAGGCCGCAGAAGAAAGCCAGCGTAGCTGCCGCCCAGACGCAGCGTTGGTCCCAAACACACAGAGGCCCGGCTAGCAGAGCCGATTTAAGGCCGCATAGCTTCGTCCACGGTCGTATAAGACAGTTTATAACACCCTGGATTAATCCCGTCGTTTACACTTTGTCCGCGCGGCTGCGATAAGTCTAATATGAGTCGCACTTCTCCATTTTCCTTATCTCTAGCGCTCAATTCGTTCACTACAAAGTTTTCAAACGTAGGG